ATTGAGTAGTTCAGACAGGAAGCAAACCGACTTACCTTGCAGAGAAGGCTCCTCCGGCACACCGTCCCATCGCGTTGAACACCGCAATGTAGGCGTGGATCGAAGGGCCCTGAAACAAATCTTCAACTGAGCCACGGTCGGACTTCTGAGTTAAAGGAACTGAACAGTTTCTAGTAAGCTCAACTCTTTTCAGATGGACTGTTCGCCCTGGCCACCTCTATTACGCTTGTTAAAGAAGAGCCTTGGCCATAAAACTGCTCTTCGTTCGCCCCTATCCTTCGCGTTACCTTCCACTCTGGCAAATCCCAGATTCTGGCTAGACGTTTTAAAGGACTTATGGACAAAACTCAGCTCTGTGAGATACAGCGAATCGACACATTAGGATTACACCTACGTCAGCCTTGGATCGCGAGCATCGGAGAGTGTATGCTATAAGTTTTGTCTTTCTATGTGCATTCATATTTGTGGTGGGCACTAAAACTGCCACCGAAACTAAAGACCTTAAAGAACTGACATTTTCATTATGATTCTTTTTGTCACCCTCTCATCCCATCACATTCCATTAAAGAAGATTTGTGGGAAAAAAAGACCCTCCCTTGAAGAGATGACTGAAGCATTAGGGCATCTCCACCTAAACAGGGAGAGAAAAATGAACTAAAAAATTTGGGTTTTCCCCATTTACTCATGTCTCCAGAGAAGGGGTAAGAATGTAAAATTCTCATTAATAATTCGTGGGCATTTTACTTTCCATTCTCTTTCTCCCTCTCTCCGTTTGTGTGTGTATATTTACATATATGGGAGCAGTCGAGTCATTATATGCGCAGACTCCCAAAGTTTGTGTTGTCTATGAACCCAAATTCTAAATTAGTGTAGCTTGTTCAATTGCCTCCCCCTTTCCTAACTTTCCTTCGGCTTCTCAGAACGTAGGAACTATTTGCCCATTTACTAGAGCACACCGCCGACCAATCAGAAGTGCCTACCTCAAAATCTCAACTAGAGGCTTTCATTTACCAGAAGAAAAATGAAGGGTGTGGTGGCTTAAGGGTGGAGAAAAAGAGATATATTTGGCTCATACTTGCAGCATGAGCTTTTTTTGCTGTTTTCAGACCCATATGGCACTCTGACGTGAAAAATTCGCAATTTTGCTGCCCTCAGCTCCTTTATCCCCCCTAGATGAGAAAAATCCCCCCAGGTTTTTTGCCTTGACGCGACTATAAGGCTGGAAAATGGATTTATATCATATTTATTTTTGGCCTAGAAGCAAAAAGGAGCCAGTACGAGGGTGCATAATCAATCTGCGCAGCTAGTGGTTAATGTCTTTTATGCCTTTCGTGTCTGTTAATCAGCCCAGCTCAAATCCATATTGGGAGGTTCACAAGTACAAAACAAAGTGGACATTCACCTTGCTGACGATTGTCACTCGTGCTGTCGTTGATAATATTATTGTTGACATCATTAACAGTGGGAACAACAGGAGGCAAAGCAAAAGGGTGGTTTTATAGCGGAGTGAAGATGGTATTTCCAAAGAAAAGGTTAATGGAGCCAAAAGTTATGGCGCCGTTGCTTCTAACATGACCGCTTTAACCCTCCCCTTCCTCTAACCACCACTCCAGTACAGAAGATGAGTCATCAAGGCAGATTTCGCGTACCTTCCATTCTCTTCCACCAAAATGATTTCAAACCCAGTAATCATCTCGACTCTAGTGGCATGATATGTCTAGTGAAGACAGTACTTTGCTTTTGCTTAGAGAAACAGAAATGACTTTGAGCACCGAGGGTATTATCAGTTAATCTAATCGGTACACCTAGAAACCTTAGCATAACCGAGGCAGAGACGGGACATGTATGACACCACACTCCTGTATAAACAGCAACACAAACCACTTACAGAGATGCAGTGGAAGAGAGCCATTCAGACAGTCCATGGTACGCCGGGACCGGGAACTGGTTTCACCCTTCACGGACTTTGAATCTGTGCAAGATGATGTGAGCTTCATCATATGCTGCTCGCTGGTCGTCACAGGCACTACAACAGATTGTTCGACAGGGAAGACAGCTTGTGTAAGTTGGGTTTGCTCCTGTTGTTGTTCCCTCTGTTGCTGTTGTTGCGGAAGTTGACAGGCCTCCAAAGGCACCGACATCTCAAACGGTGCCTGTGACTCATTGGATTCAGGAAGATAAGGTTCTAAGCTGGAAAGCAGATCATTTGGTTTGAGTAGTGGTAGACTTTCGCTGGTATCTCCATCGGTATAGTCACAAGTGGGCAGCTCCAGTGAATCCCAAATCTCCCAGTCAATATCGGTCGTCCCACTTCCTACAGCTGTGTTATCCACCCATCCATTAGAAGCAGAATGGTCAGCAACGCTAGTGGCCACAGTGTCCATCGGAGATAGGATTGGCAGCTTCTCATCCACTTTTTGTTCCTCCACTGGCTGTCCTGATACAGACTTATTTTCGCTTATCTTCTTGTCAGTCGATTCTTCATCCAGGTTAACAATAGACGCTACTGCCTGTTCCACTTCTACATCATTTTCGCCATGAAGTCGAGCCGGAGTGGTGTTGTTAAACCGTACCAAGATTGGCATAATAGTAGGTGGCGATTTTATCTCGTAGCTTTTGGAGTAGACAGACTGATCAGGGAAGCATGTATTTAAGCATTGAGAAGAGGAGGCATCCGTATTGTTAAAGACACTAGAATCCACTGAATAGGTAGAAGAGGAGGAGGCAGAAGGAAGGGTAAAGAAATCTGGTGATGGCGTCTCTAGCGTATGAGAATGACAATCGGAAGCTTCCGAACGACCGACGGTCAAGTATGGCTCCGACTCGTTCAAGGTGGAAAGATAAGTGTTTATCGGCTGTGTGACTGTCTGACCTTGATGTGGCACCACCGTAGAGGTCTTTCCGATATCACCACCTTGAGTGGAATGCAAAAGATCGTTGAAGTAAGTACTTGAATCCTTTAAGTCAGCGAAGTTGATCTCATTGTTGCTGGCGTTGGTGGCAGTGACACCGTTATTATTAGCATTAGTATCATCGTAGAGCTCTGAGGTATCAGGAAATATGTCATAAAAGTCAAAAAAGTCTGGTGCTGTAGAGCCATTATTTCCATCTTCAATTAGGGCACTATCGACGTCCTCAACAGATGGAGGTACTTCCGCAGAAATCTCAACATTTGAAACATCATTAGCAGAGTTAAAGGGATCAGGGGCGTTGAATAGCCTTGGTTTTTGTTCACGACCGTCATCGTGATTCCAACTTTGTGGAATGCACTCTTGCAGCATATCGTGTCGATAGGTGTCAGAGGGTTCCAGGTTTGTGGAGTTAGAGGTGTATGAGAGGAGGTCTTCGGAGTGTTTAGATGAAAGACTGCACTCTGAACCCGAAGTCGACGTAAAGGCTGCAGAACATAAGTCCGTCGAGAAATCGCTTATATTCTTGTGACGCACACCTTGAGGAAAGACATGAGGTAATTAGATGAAAAGAAAATGCAACTTACAAAAGTGTTCAGAAAGCCGATTTAAGAGGACGATGGAGTTGCAGAGAGTGCACAGGATTAACTCTGCTACAGCGTCTGATTTGCCGAGAAAATGTTTATTGAAGGGGTGGTTAGTGGGTATGAAGGGATCTACTAAGATAATTAAAGGTGAGTAGGAGTAGTAAATACCTGAGTAATTGAACGGCTTATTTTCAAGTCTATAATGCAAGAGCTCCCAAGGATTCCGTTCAGACATGGGCCATACACTACATAAAAGCTGACAAATTAAGTGTCAGCCTTAAATGCTTTTTCCCCGCATATAAACTAGACAAAACGATACATAAATAAAAAATAAAAGTAACATTACAACATAATACATTTAAGTGAAAAGTAGACTAATAGGCAGTCGGGGAGACAGGCGTAAAAGACAGAAGATTGAGCCAAAACGGGAGCCATTAAGACTGTCTTGCACTAACACTAAAGCACTCTAATAGCTAAAAGTAAAAAAGTAAGAAGATGAAATCAAAATTAAAAATGGCTGCCAGAAATGGGCAATACCTTGGGCAGTATAAAAACTTTACCAATGTTCACACAAAGGAAAAAAGACACAATGACGATCATCGAATCCCACAAAAAGGTCCCACCATAATAAAATTACTATTTAATAGCGTTGAAGAATCAATAATGCCATATATTTTTACCCACCAAACACGATATTCCTCGGGAATTCAAAGTCATCTCAATTACGCAAAATGTTTTTGGCTGACAATAATTGATTACATGTAGATGACTAAAACAAGCACAAGGTGCAAAAGCCAATCTTTTAAAAAATGAGTTATTAAAGATAATTTTTATATTTAGATAAAATATAATAATATATAAGCGTTTGCAGATGTTAAATTGCTTTTTGATAATGATCTAACCTTTAAGGTGGACGCACTTTACAAACACAAATGGACAAAATACGTCATATGGCTAAATTATTTACGTTTCGGTGCTAATTTTTATTCGAATTGTAATGAATGACTGCGATTTGATAACTCGAGTGCATCATCACTCCAAAATTTAAGTCTAAGCACTTGAGTAAATTCTCCAGATAGTGGTTGGTATACATATGGATTGCATAAGTGTAAAAGTCGGGAATTCGAGTCAGACGTTCGGCCTGCTGAATGAACAACCCTCCTTCTCTGGATCGAAAATGATCATTCTCCCTCCCTACCCCCCGATTCTTCATACTACCTCCATCCTTTACGTTGTAATGATGTACCTAATTGTTCAGCCTGAAAATTAATGGCTCTTAAGGGGATCGTTAAGAAAAAAATCACTGAGGTAATAGTGCTTGCCAACACAACTCTTCGATACATCCACGCACATCATTAAGAACTAAGCCTTAGGGTAGTAGCTCCCATGTAACATTTCCAGAACTCGACTAGCTTCAATATAGGCTTTGCATTTGCAATGCTTTGTTTATATTACTACCTGACATTTGGCAGTCACTTTAGAATTTGTTTGGCTCCTGTACACGTGGGCTGGCCTTTAGGCCATGCTCAGGCCCATTTGCCCTGTCGTCCCCGGAATACATGTTTTCAACCTCACTAATGCCTTCTACCACATAATGGAAAGCTTCGGGACGCTACATTGGTGGCGGCGGAAAGCGAACCCGACATTTTTTAACGACTTTTAGGTATAAGGTGCTTTTAATAGCGACAGTGTGCGGGAAAATCTATTGCCCAACAGACACCGCTGTCTTACTGACATCCTACGTTTGTAGCCAAACTTTGACAATTAATCGACTGATTTCCGGAAAAGTACAGTATGAACAAGCCGACGAGCAACGGTTCACTCGGATGATGCACTGGTTCAATACATGCAGATACACCAAAATCGGGTTCTCTCGGCCGGAAAGTCGAAACCTCTCTTTTCACGACAAGGAGTTTAGAATTTAACCAACAGACAAGACTGCGAAAGACTTCTATCGTCTAGTGAGGAAATCCCAGTTTAATAAGCGCAATTTGGCGTTGTGCACTGGCAATAATGAGCTATGCATGCGTAGAAGGAAGTCTGACTCTATCGAAGTGGAGTAGATGAAGATACAGGCGAAAGGGGGGATTGAAGGGGACGAATTATCTTGGTGATGGAGAATCTCTGAATCCTTCACCTTTCACCTTATTCCCGTATTCCACAGACAAGCTATTAGCAACTAAAGCGGCACCGTCGTGAACTACCTGGAAATGTTTCGTGTTGGAATTCCCCTTAAAAAATTTGTGTTTAGGTGTCGGAAATGACACCACGGTTCTCCTTACACACGGGAAAGTGGCTCGTCCAGTTCTCCTAACAACACATATTTTTAAATTAGAGTTCTACCGTCTATTCCTGGAAGCAATTGGTGGTCAGCAGGTGTGTGCGATCTCAAATCCGGTTGTCAGGCCGAACGTAATTCCAGATCCAGTTGAAGCTAAAGAGGAGACCAAGTACGATTCCTCAGTCTTATGCTCTATGTCGACTTGCGTGGTTGGCTATTAGGTGCTTTCTTGTAGTACCGAATATGGCGCGGGAGGTGTATCAAAGGGGAGTGCCGAGGACGTTGCTAAAAAGAAGAGAGGGGCAGTGTAATGCTTTGTTTATGTGATTACCTGACGTTTGGCGGTCACTTTAGAATTTGTTTGGACTCTGTACACGTGGGTTGGCCTTCGGGCCACGCTCAGGCCCCGTTTGCCCTGTCGTCTTCAGAATGCATGTATTCAGTTCCACTCGTGCCCTCTACTACCCAATGGGAAGTCTCGGGACGCTACAGCATTTGCACATATTTACATATTATGTGCAAGTATTTGCCAATTTACAACTCCTTGGACAAGATAATGTGGTGATGAATTAAGCGAGTTATGCCTTCCAACTGCTTATGCTCTCACTTCATTGTCCCAAATGTTTTAAATCGAGTGAGCTTGTTCACCTAGAAGATGAACAGACAGATGAAGAACCCAATGCGCTGATAAAAGCTCAATCGAATCTTTCCTTTAGTAGCACCACGAGCACTACCACATGCTAGCAAATGCCATGTTCCGCCATGTTTTCTTCACACTTGTCTTTAATTTCTCTTCCTTGTTGCAGTAAATGCCTTTATAGCTTGACACCTCAGATGCTGGGTTAACCAGACACTCTCAGTAGCTAAGAAAAATGGAAAGTATTAGACAGAGCTTTTATCAGTGCATTGGGTTTGCCATCTGCCTGTTCACCTTCCGGGTGGACAAGCTCATCCGATTTAAAACATTTAGGACAATGAAGCGAGAGCATAAGCAATTGGAAGACATAACTCGCTTAATTCAACACCACATTATCCCGTCCAAAGAGTTGTAAATTGGCGAATACTTGCACATAATATGTAGATGTGTGAATGCTGTAGCGTCACTCGAAGATAGTATGACTTCATGTTTCATATCGGCAAAGAAGCTCGGCAAATTAATTCCCCTATATGTCCATATTTTCTATTAGCTCGGCAAAGATGCTATGATATATCATTTTTGTGGTCTCAAGAACTAAATTAAAGCTACAGACATACTTTTTTGCGACCGAATAGGAGATGTGTGTTCAAAGATCGGACTGTAGTAACTGCCTGTCTACCCTCTGGTCCCTGGTTCTCAGACTTTAAGGGGAAGTTGGTTGTAGACGATTTATTAGGCATCTCTATAAGAAGGATAGGGGAATAAGATACAGATGTGATGAACAGGAGGTGTCAATCGCAGGGAGGCTCCTCGTCGACCTCGCGCACGTGATCCACGCCTCCAATTGGTTTCCGCCTCTCACCTATCAAAATCCACTTAAACAACTAGAATATATTACATGGACAAACTCCGGAATCCGAGCAGCTTTACTATCTTGTACACTCTTCTCCTTCTATTTTATTTTTTTGCAGTTTCTACTTAGGCTTCAACATTCTGCGTTGTCGCGTCATGAGACTTCTCATAGGGTGAAGGAAGGCAGTAAGTTTGGCTGGACACATGTATTCCAAAGAAAATAGAGCAAATGGACCTGAGCATGGCCCGAAGTCAAAGTGTCATGAGAGATTCCGAGCTGTAAATTACATCAGAAAAATCATCGAAATGGGCTAAGGGAAGTAATTGCGCATTGTGGCCTCGATGGGAATCAGGCTATTTAATAAGTAATGCAATTGAATGAAGAATCTAGAGCAAGAATGTGCACCGGTTTAAAGCTCTTGCCTTTCCCGACAGTCACTCAATTTGCGCTTTACAAACGCTTCTAGTCTAAAATATGCGGAAAACGAAATGTGTTGCCCATGCCACCGATCCATAGTGTATTTGTGAGGTTGGTTGCATGGCATTTACCACGCAGCATATACAGTTTTACAATGTTTAAGGTTATAAATCGTCATTAAGCAAAAAATGTATTGAATTTGCCTAATCAACGAAATTTTGAGGCTGAAAAATGTCTTAGTTCCGAATTTTATTATTTATTGGGTAAGGTATTCCAGGGAAACACTTTTATTCACAACCCCTACGTACAGACTGAAACTGTCAGACTGACCCTAATCTTCACTGCCAAATGGCTTCGATGGATGAGCCTGGATCTAATATCTGGGACGCAAGTGATGTTCAGGGCTTCAGTTTTGATGTAGTCTCTCTCTTCTTTTCATAATGTTGATGTTTTAGGATATAGAAACAAAAGATAGCCAAATATATTCCGGTAATTCTGTGTTGTTTTATGCATGGTTTAAAGATGCCCTTGCAAAGAACATCAGTGGAAACACTGTTGAATCAACTTTCATTCCGAGTAATTAAAGCTTTAATAAGCATCAATACCGGTCGCAGGTCTTGACAGTGAAGATTGCTCTTTCTGCAATAAACGACTCAGTAGTGTATTTAAGTATGAAGATAAGTCTGCATTTTGTTCTGAGGTAAATTACCTCAAATGTCGTCCCAATAACTTGTTCTAAACAGGACTGCTGGGTGGCTTGCCTACGCTCCTCGCTAACCGATCTGAGAAGTGGCGGGATAAGCTCATGGCCGATTGACATGTTCGTTTCATTGGGAGCCAAACGCAAGCTGATTCAACTAGCCGCAGAAACGCTGGATGGTGATTTCCTAATAAAAGTGATCCTAATCGTAAGATCACGACTTGATCGAGACCTTTTCTTTTCTATTCTTCTTGAAAATGAACTCGGGTACAAGCACTACCTACATTTCCTTGCTGAGACTTCGCAAACATCGGAGGCGGATGAACTAATGGTGTAAGACTTGCTGTTTTCATCCAAATAAATGTCATTTAGTGCCCATGGAGCCCTGGAAGATTCAAAGGTACTCGTTTTTGTGGGGCTTGTTGAGATTTCTTTCAGATTTCCACTTTTAAAAGCCGCATGGAAGCTATTCAATCGGAAAGCGCAGAAGACGCTGAAAAAGCAATGCATCAGTTGCACCTTTTTGCCGTGTATGATTTGGAATTTAAATTATTCTTGTTGGCAGGACTGAACTGAAATCTACTCCTTCTCTTGCCCTCATGCATGAGTCAATTACCAACGCCGCAGATTTGCTGAAGTTTCAACTAAAAATCGTATGTATATTTCTTGTCGTAGTTTCATTTTTAGAGGTCGGAATGGGTTGCTTTCCTCAGCCACCCGCAGGAGGGCCCGATAAAATCGATGCTGAGCGAGCTGGAGGGCTCCATTGTAGGGCAAAATCTGGCGAACACGATTCTCGCTTGTGTTCTGATGGACAAGAATGTGTCTAAAGGCAGTCGCGCTGAGCAACTCAAAACGACTTTCAAGGTGATCTAAGAGGTTCTGCTTCTTTAAGTCTTGAGAACATCAGTATGATGAAATGCAAGGTTAATGTCCTATTCATATTTATCCCCTGATTCTGTTGATCAGACTGTTAATGATCTAATTCATCAAACGGATCGGACTACGCCCCACGGACTTGGAGCAGTTTGAAATCTACAGGTTCCTCGTTTGGTTTTCAGGCATCACCTAGCGAAGGTGGGACAGCGGTACATACCTACTGTAATTTGTTGAAAATATAGTTTAGTTTTGGTACTTAATCACTCGGCAGCAAATTCATTAAATTTGTAAGGATACTATTTTTCATTACGGATAACGTGGAGTTCCTTCTTCTCATTGAACTATTCGCATGATTAGAGAGTAGCACGATTTGTTTGTAGGTCGACTGCTGAAGGGAAAGTGATGGTTGAGGCTACTAATCCGATGGGTCCCTTGGAAGTGGATGACATGGCTTAGCAATTTTTGCTTCACTAATATCACGTATTTCATGCGGTCGACACCCGCAGCACAAGCTCACTCGAGAACCATAATGCAACCGAACACATGATTTTCGATCTTGCTGTACTTCATTTTCTGCTCGCATGTCATTTCCCCTTCTTCCTCTTTTCTCACCGACCACATGAGATTAATCATTTCCATGTTTATGTTGGTACACTTGCCTTGTTGATGGATCGTTAATGGAATCTATAGATGAGAGATTACAATGAAGTGTTATCCATTTTGTAAGTTTTGAGATAGTAGTAACTACGAATATATTATTATTAGGAAAGTTTAGCCTCTCATTTTGTCCTTGCAGATGTCGGATGAACATTTTCGGTGGTTAGTCCTTGAGCCTCTCATTCGCATGGAACTATGGATGCAGATGGACTTACTACTACTGGAAAAGGTTTGCTTGGTCCCGCCAATTTTTTGTATCAGCTACTAAACTACTTGTACGCCAACACAAGACACTTGATGTAGTGCTTTTATCACCTTTCTTTCTGCCCAATTGGCTAGGTATAATGGACGTTTGGGTACAGTGTCAGACCGTCCGATTCTCATAAGGCTTTAGTGTGTGAAACCAGCCGCAAATTCGACCTCCCAACACCTCCAATTTCGTTAGTGCCACCAATTTGATCGGAGAACTTGGGAAATAGATGCCTTGGCATCCACCTTCACGGCTAGTTTCAGTTCCTAACTGTTCACTTAGTTTTGAAGTTTCTTCCGCAGCTCAAATTACGGAAATACTTTAAAATATGGGCTCTGGACAATGATTTGCACTCATTTGAGAACAGCTCGTTGGTGGGAAATAACTTAGGGTATCCAAGCACAATTCGTCTAGTTTCACTACATTTATCAAGTTGCCTTCATCAGAGGTCATTCCAACTCATTATCAGCTCATGCGTTGAGGTATCAATCCTTAGGTTAGGTTCTCACTGTTTCCGTGTGATCCACCATTTATTCTCTTGCCCCTTCAGAAATGGCTGACACGGAAGCCG